CACCCAAACCACTAGAATTTTGGGATGCACCTAGTAGCATGACATTTATTAGGAATAAAGACTTCTGAGTTCTGGTTACCGCTATGTGGTATCTAGTTATATATCATTCTCACACMCCCCCATAATCTGGTCAGTTTGTATAAAAATGAACTAAAGAGAAAACTGATGTTTGACTCAGTTTGAGCTACTGAGCTGCTTTGATGTGATTCTCTCCCAGCTGGCAGGAACAAACACTGGGAACAGATCCTGACGAYACAGACACACTGAAAAGGCCACAGCCTCAGAGTTAGCAGCCAGTGTGGAAGCTGACATTTCACAGCCTACACTGGGAAGCCTTTTAAAGCTTTGTRGGCGTTCATTACATTCCAAGTTAAAGATGGAGGACAGAACGGCCGCCTGCTGGGACAGAGGCCGGCAGGGCAGCGCGTGCTCTGTTTTACCATCATCTTTTTGACCCGTCAGAATGCCTGACTGGCAGAAACACTGGGAACCAGCAGAGGGAGTCAGAGAGCTACAAAAACCATTTTCAAGCCACAGCTTTCAGAGACATTTCTTCATAAAGACACGAGAGCTGATCTGTGCAGGAATCAGACTTAATATTGTGTCAATTTCACAGAATCTAGACGAGAAATTCTCATTCTCTTCACCGCAGGCAGGCAAGAAAACACAAGTGGTGATTTTTAACGACTTACTTGAGCGTCTCGGCCAGGAAGAAGCTCTGCTGCACGTCATCGTAGGTCGGACTGGACGAGTACACGTCCTTCACTCCTGAGAAACCTCCACTCACACGGCAGTATTTATCAATGGCCTGAGGAGAACAAGGATGGTAGGAGAGAAGAAGAAAACATAAAAATTATGAGAGCAATAAATATAAAAATAAAGAGAACAAAAAAAGTGATTTATGTCAAAAAGGGAAAACCCAATGGGTGACAGATCACAGAGAAAGAGAAAAGGAGGAGAGGAGGAGCAGCAGGGCAATGAGGAAAACGTGGGGGAGGAGAAGACATCTTAATAAGCTTATAAAAGCATGCTATAATTAATTTGTTTGCTTGTGACAGATTAGAGCAGGTCCTGGGGAGACGTTCAGCAACCAGCTGCTGTACGAAACACCAGGAAAAATGACTACTGCTAATGATTTCAGCATTCACATTTGACTGTTTTGCTCTCCTTTTGCACAAAGCTGCTTTATAATGAGGAAACACTTTTTTATTTTTTTCTCATTTTGCCTCTTTTGAGGGTACAATGTTTAATTCTCTGTGGCCTCTGGCAGCCTTTCTGTTTTCCTAGAAATCATTAGGTTGTCTTCTTGCTTTCATCATCCCTTTCCTACTGAACAGGAAAAAAATATCAGCTTCTACAGCTTAAGCTGCTTGACATTTTTCTTCCACATTATGTTTTCCTGTTTGTCTTCTACTCTCTTTTGTTCATATGAGCAATTTTGAAATGATTGTGTTATTTTTAAATTAGTTTGTCTTATCAGTGCAGACTTTTGTAATAATAGATTTAGAATACTTTTTTGTCCAACACTGCAAAAAATGTCCACCTAACCAAGTTTTAAAATCTTATATCCAGCCAAAAATAAGTCTTTTTGATCTTGTTTTGAGACTGATTTACTAAACAAGAACTGATAGTGTAAGAATAATAATCTTGTTTTCAGAATGTGTAAGATTATTTGTCTTGTTAGTCTGAAAATTTGACTCAAATTAAGTCAAAATTTCTGCCAATGGAGTAGGAAAATTTTACTTGGTAAGATTCTTGAAATACCTGACTTGACTCATTTTTTTCTTATTCCAAGTATCTTACCAAGTAAAAATTTCTTACACTGCAAAAACTGTCCATCTTACCAAGTTTTAAAATCTTATATCCAGCCAAAAAAAATTTTTTT